GCACGTCGGGCATGGGGCTAGTGCTTGGAGGGCGGAGTCCAGTGGTCCTTACCGGCCACGCGGACGCTTCTTGGGCTGACGACCAGGCTACGCAGCGGTCGTCACAGGGTTACACCTTCAGCCTTGGTTCCGGCTCTGTCTCGTGGCGGTCTACTCGCTCGTCTTTGGTTCTCGGCTCCTGTTGTGAGGCTGAGATCTACGCCGGGGCCATGGCTGCACAGGAGCTTCGCTGGCTCACCTACCTGCTGACTGACCTTGGAGAGCCGCCTCGTTCTCCTCCAGTGCTGTACGTAGACAACAAGGCCATGCTGGCCTTGTGTCGAGAGCAGCGCTTGGAGCACAGAACGAAGCACATTGCTCTCCGCTACTTCCTTGCTCGTGAGCTGCAGCAGCGTGGTCAGTTGCGACTTGCGTACGTGGCCTCTGAGGCCAACACTGCTGATGTGTTCACCAAGGCACTCGCGCCTTGTGACCATCAGCGCTTTTGCACCCAGCTGGGTCTTGTGCCTGTCTTGCCTCACTTGCTCTCCTCTTGACTTCACTTGTACTGTTACATATATTTATACCTGCTCTTGCTTGTTTAGTTCTATATATATATGTCTGTACTCCTGCATGTGAACTGGCCTCTGGCCCTGCTCTTGTGCTCGGACTGTGTGGTGACGTTGTGATCCACCCTGAGCTTGCTCTGCTTTGCTTTACCTGACTGGTCTTGTGACCCCTTGTTCTCCCCCACTTTGCCTATGGGGGTGTGTCAGATTTATATGACATAGTTTCTGTAGGCTTTAGTGGGGTAGCACATATGGGGTACAGGGTTTCTAGGGTTGTATTTGTACCCAATCTCTCCTTAGTCATTTTCATTCCTGTTTTCCTTGTTTCACACCTCCGCGATTAGTACCTTTGACATCTGTAGTATGACGTTTGTCTCTTGTGACTGAAGTTGCACAATTTCTTGTCGTCGTGTGCGCAGGTTTTGGTTGTTGGCGACTGTGATGACAACCTCTCGTTGAAGTCGGTGCTCGCGTTGAACGAAGCGTCCCGAGGAGCACATGTGCTGTCCGCAGCAACTGTCCAAGAACCATGTGTCCTTTCCGGACGGCTCGCTTTGGGCGATGGCGGCGTACGCTGGGTCCGGTTGAAGTGACTCGCGGTGAGGCGTGCTGATGTCGAGTTGTTCTTCTGGTGAGTAATGTGGTGGTGACTCAGTTACGCAGGAGTCGCTTAGTCTTGCCATGCAGCTGACGATGTTTCTTGCTTCTTTTGCAGGTTGTCTTGTCGATGTTGTTGACACTTGTACCGAGGTTGTCGGACTTGATTGTGTTGAGGCAACTTGACTGCTTGAAGGACGAGGTTGGCGTTGCGGCGACGTTGACTGTTGTCGATTCGGGCAGTGAGTACGAGGATGCCCTGAAGTCTTGCAGATGTGGCAGAACGGAGGTACTGGCTTCGGTTGTTGCTGCCGGTTGTTGTTGTTGTAGTTGTAGCGTCACTGAGTGTGGAACGCGAATTCGGGTACTGATGTCTTTTTCTTGTGTCGTTCTTCTTGCAGGTCCATGTCTTGCTGCTCAGCATGGATTTCGGCGCAGAGTGCTGCTTCGGAGATTCTCCCGTGTGCTCGTAGTATGGCGCGAGTGGAGCGCCAGTGAGGACCAAGACCGCCGATGACAACCGTGACGAAGGCGTCTTCTGAAATCGATCCTCCACATCGAAGAAGCTTGTCGCGCAGCTCGTGGCAGCGACTTATATACGCCATTCCCTTCTCGCCTGGTTTCATCTCGACTGTTGTCAACTGCGCCATTAACCGACTTTGGTTTACGCTGCCTGTTGCTTGATACAGGTTCTTCAAGTGGTTGTACGCGAGCTCCGCAGAGTTGCCATATCCTCGGTAAGTCCTTATTATCTGCTGTTGAGTCGGTGTGATGTTCCTCAGTAATATCGTGTACGCCATCATTGATTGATAGGTGTACTGCTGCTTCTCATACTGTGTGCCGTTTGTTGGGTATGGCAGGGACCCGTCGAAGAAGCCAAGAATTTGCGCTCCTTCCCTCATCAGCTCGAATTCGAATGACCAGGTAAAGAAGTCCTTCCCGTCGAAGGGTTTTGTCGTTTGCAGTTTTAAGACGTGCGTGAACTGCGACTGAACTTGTAGTGCGTCCAACGCTCTTTCTTGTCCCGGTGCAGGTTGTGGTTGTGGCGTGAAGCTGACGGAACCGCGCTGGGGCTCGTACGGAGCGAAGGTAGGTTGTTGTTGTTGATTTCCGCGCGCGTAGGATGAGCCATCGAGACTCATGGGCGTCACGTTGTTGTTGTTGTTGCTGTTGTTTGATATTGCAGGTACTCCTTGCTGGTGCTGCTCGTAGAAGGACATGAAGGAGAAGAATTTCTCCATCATGCTTGGATCGAAGCCCGCGCCTTGGTTTGCGAGTGTTTCAGTAGACCCAGCGGCTGGTCTTGTTAATGTGTCTTCCTCTGTCTGTAGACCAGAGACAGGAGGTGGAGTAGGAGTGGTACCAGGAGAGCCGTTGGAGGAGCTTCTCTCCTTTCTGGTAGACATGTCTCTTGGTGTAATCAATGGAGTAATAGAGTTTTACCCTAACTGCTCTCATACCATGTCGGGCTGAAAAGCCCCTTAGGATCTTTGGTAGGATGAAACTCTAGGTAAAGTGATGTAATAGCGGAAGCGTTTAAGAGAAGATTCTAAACCACCTTGCGCTGGTATGTGAGGGCAAAGTAAGTTGATTAAAGCAAAGAGATACAAGATTATATAAGAGTACAAGGAATACGAAGAGATACGTGTCAGAATCCCAACCACTAGACCATTGGGATAAAAGGGCTTTTTTTAGTAGCGGGTCAGTGCGCCCATAACCCCCCAGGCAAACGCGCCTGTAACCCCCCCTAGGATCGATCGGGGATCTCACAGTGTAGCTCTACTGACACCCCCCCACACTGGGAGGCCCAGGACTGAGCACAGTGGCAACGGCCAACATGTGCATACACCGGGATTCGAACCCGAGACCGCTCTGATACCATGTCAGAATCCCAACCACTAGACCATTGGGATAAAAGGGCTTTTTTTAGTAGCGGGTCAGTGCGCCCATAACCCCCCAGGCAAACGCGCCTGTAACCCCCCCTAGGATCGATCGGGGATCTCACAGTGTAGCTCTACTGACAATACGGTTGTAACTTCTTTTGATGTTGCTGTTGCGGTTCGATACAGTGACGACTCGGGCAACTGCTCAGTATCGAGTCAGTTGTGTGTCCTTGCTGTCGCGCTGTATTTGTCAAGTCAAAGGTCGCTGACCTTTGACCTTCGCGTAATCTCCAGCGGTTACTTCAACCTCCGAGGGTTGACTCGCTAGTGCCTCGATATGATTTGCTTCGCTTGTGCCTTGGTGTTTCGACACGATAGAAGCGCTTTAGGACCGATTGTTTCCAACAGTTTGTATGGGTGTGGTAGAGTTCGTCACCAAGCGGAGTATGGCCTGATCCGCGGTAAAAAGGTTTCAGTATAAGGGTAGTCTACACCCTACCCTAATACTGTCAGGCTAACCATAGATCCTATCAGGGTTAAAAAAAAACATGCTCTTTTTGCAAAAGGGTAACTTTCATGGAATCCTGATTTTGGCAGGGTAATCTTGAAAAAGCGGCCTGCCCCCAGGGTAATCGGGGCGTTTTACCCTGATATTTTGGGCCCTGATTCCCAGCGTCAGAAACGAGGTTGTTGTGCCTGCGAAAGTGTGATAAAATACAAAAATATCCAGGAGTAGCAGTATCGTCACTGTTCAGGCTTTCTGTATCAGAATTGGTTACAAGTATTGTCTCGTTTTTTATTCCAGCCAGTTATCATAATGCTTCTTTAAAGCCCAGCCCCCAGCCCCCGGACTACCGTACATGTGTGAAGTTCAGCTTTACTCTACATATACCAATACCGTATTCAAACTTGTCATTCAAATATAGTGAAGATTGAAATGACTGCCTACAGACAGTCCCTGAGTTATTTAGCCCAAGATATAACACCAACTGGTTATACCAGCCTTGCAATGTGCAAAGCATACGGTAATAACCCTACCCCTCTCTAGACATCAAACTGCAATATTTATGATTTGCCACAAACAACCAGCCCCATGCCATCAGGCCATGACTTATTCCAGTCCAAACCACAACTTAAACAACTATTGTGGAGCTGTTATAACTGCAAGAGAATTGAGAGCATTTATGTCCTCACGTATTCCAGCTTCGGAGCCTGCACAAAAAAATGCAAACACAAAACGCATGGCAATGTCAATAAGAACGCCTTGAAAAGGCTCAAAAGGCACCATGAACATTATTAATTATCAATATCCGCAGTGAACAAGACCCACTTGTACATAACCCACACCCTCGCACACAAAACAGCCTAGTGCGTAAGCTTGTGTCCGTTGACTCCATTGTTCGCCATTGACGCATCAGATGCACACAATACACACACAGCGTCTGGAAATTAAACAATTGTGGTGCATAACTCCTTCCCATGCATCAAACATACACTACACTAACTATGTTGCATGACTCGTTGTATGAAATGTGGAGCATACTTACTGGAAACTCGGTGGCAGGAAGGAAGGCAGAAAAAATACATACCTTAGAGATCGACCATCATAACAATCATGCCACAACCCAGCATAGCCGATGTCATCCATAGCACATACCATCCTTGCATGACGCACAGCACCCATGCACAGCACATATAGATCATGCATGGCACCTAGCGGTCAAGTATGGAAAATGATCCATCATGGAGCACTATTTCCAACGTGCATGGAATATCCCACCCATGCATAGAACTTAATAACCATACATGGAACAAAGAGAATACCAAGTTCCCATCAATACATTAAACATTGGAACATAGAATATACCAACCATGCATGGGACATATAACCATGCATCAAACATCAAACATACCATTAATACATGGAACATACAGTATACCTACCATGCATGGAACATGAATCCATCCATACCTTGATGAGCATGCTGGTGGGAAGCCAGGCAGGGGGGGTAGGCACTCCAGCCCAAGAAAGCTGAAAGACCAACGGAAAATACAAATTAATAATCATCATCATTATACAAAAGCATATTGCTGGGCATGAGTGAATCGTTCCAATAATTCTATGAGGTGACTTTTGAGTCGACTCGAGTGTCATTGATGATTCTATGCAGGCGGTGGTCCTCCGAGACAATGGTTCCTAGGACTTGCGTGAACTGGGAGGGACGCATGCGTGCGGGATGCACATAGACTCGGGCATAAAATGCACTGTTCTCACACATAGATAGATACACTACCGTCGCACGCAGATGGCTTACCAGTGCATACTGGGTGCCGCTGAATTCCTTGAGGTCCAAGATCTGCACAAGAGGGTAGGCAAGCAGGATGGAAGGGGGGAGCTTTTGAGTTGACCGAACAATCGCCAAATTCCTTGAGGTCCAAGATCTGCACGAGGGGAGACCGGCAGGATAGAAGATATAAAATTTCTTAGTCCATTCAGAAAGAAATTCCTTGAAGTCTCCAAGGTAGGACGTCTCTTGGGTAGGCAGGTAGGAATCCCTGCCTAGGATACAAGGGGGAAGAGAACGTCTCTTTAGGCGCCAAAGGAACCGACACAGTAAGCACACCGTCCACCACACAAGTTTCTGAAGTCCAAGAGCTGGACGAGCGGAGACAGGCAGGATAGATGGGAGAAAAGAAAGCGATTCTAGTCAATAGCATCTGGACGCAGGACGCTCGCCTGGCAGAGCGTCTTTCTCCACTTAGGCATCAGCTCCCATCACAGTTGGGTACTTAAAGCCCTACCACGGGTACTTCCCACAACACAGCAACCAGTGCGCCCCCTCACCCCCCAGTGCGCCCCCTCACCCCCCAGTGCGCCCCCTCACCCCCCAGTGCGCCCCCTCACCCCCCAGTGCGCCCCCTCACCCCCCAGTGTCCGCCTCACCCCCCAATGCGCCCCCTCACCCCCCAGTGCGCCCCCTCACCCCCCAGTGCGCCCCCTCACCCCCCAGTGCGCCCCCTCACCCCCCAGTGTCCGCCTCACCCCCCAGTGCGCCCCCTCACCCCCCAGTGCGCCCCCTCAACCCCCAGTGCGCCCCCTCACCCCCCAGTGCGCCCCCTCACCCCCCAGTGCGCCCCCTCACCCCCCAGTGCGCCCGATCACCCCCCAGTGCGCCCCCTCACCTCCCAGTGTCCGCCTCACCTTTCCCTCAGTGCCCCCCTCGCCTCGCCTCTGGCCTGGTAGATGCAGTCCAGCGTGAAGAAGGGCGGATGGTGGCATGGCAGTGTCACCAAGACCAATTACACCCCACACAACCCCTGGTAACCTCTCCGTGCCTCACCTCGCCTCTGGCCTGGTAAATGTAGTCCAGCCCCGTGAAGAAGGGCGGATGGTCCACTGCCTTGAACTGGCGGGGGGCGTGCTCCCCTCACCCCCCCTTGCGTTCCTTCAACCCCCTTCACCCCCCTTCACCCCCCTTCACCCACCTTCACCCCCCATCACCCCTTCCCCACTCTCTCCCCTCCCCTCAGCACCCCCTTACCTCGCCTCTGGCCTGGTAAATGTAGTCCAGCCCCGTGAAGAAGGGCGGATGGTCCACTGCCTTGAACTGGCGGGGGGCGCGCGCGAGGGGGGCATGTGCAGGAGGATAGTGGGGGAAGGGGGAAGTGGGCGGGGAGGGAGCGGGAGAGGGGGGAGCGGGGCCGGGGGAGCGGAAGCAGAAGTGGTAGAAGCGGGAGCAGGGAGAGTGGGAGAAGGGGAAGCGGGAGCAGGGGGAGTGGGAGAAGGGGAAGCGGGAGTAGGGGGCGTGGGAGAAGGGGAAGCGGGAGCAGGGGGCGTGGGAGAGGGGGAGTGGGCGCAGCGGAAGTGCACAAGGAGGCATGATGGAGGGAATGGGGAAAGGTAGACGAGATAGAAGAGGAAGAGAGGAAGGGCGGAGACGGGAGAGAGGGAAAAAGCAGGGAAGAGGCGGGAAAACGCAGGGAAGAGGGGGGGAAAAGCAGGGAAGAGGGGGGGAAACGCAGGGAATAGGGGGGAAACGCAGGGAAGAGCGGGGGAAACGCAGGGGGAGAAGGGGGGAAACGCAGGGAGGAGGGGGGGAAACGCAGGGGATAGAGGGAGGAACGCAAGGGGGAGGGGGAGAAAGGCAGGTGAGAGGGAAGAAAGGAACCGCAGGGGTGAAGGGGGGAAACGCAGGGGAGAGGGGGGGAAACGCAGGGGAGAGGGGAGAAAACGCATGGGAGAAAGGGGGAAACGCAGGGGAGAGGGGGAAAAACGGAGGGGAGAAAGGGGGAAACCCAAGGGAGAGGGGGGGGGGAACGCAGAAAGGGGGAAACGCAGGCGATAAATGGGGGAAACACAGGGAAGAGGAGGGGAGATTGTCAGTTAAGAAAGGTGGATTGTCCACTGCCTTAGCTGAAGGCACGTGGAAAGAGACGACTGTTTTGCAACGTCTCAACAGGGATATGGCAAACGTGGGTAAGGAGAGGAGGAAGGGAGGGGGAAGGGGGACGTGAGGGGGGTGGAGAGGGACTGCGCATAAAGATGAACGGACGTTTCATTGCCTTGAAAAAGACGACGGGAGGGGGGGGGGGCGGGGGGGGAGAGGAGGGCAAGGAGAGAAGAGTGCAGATAAAGAGAGACGGAGGAACGAGGACAAAGACGAAGGGCGGATAGAGGAAGACGGATCGAAAGGAAGAGGGCAAAGGGCAGCACGAAATGCGGAGGGTGGGGAGTGGAAAGAGAACGTCGGGAGGAGAGGGAGGAGTGGCAATGCTCTCATACCCCCAATGCCCTCTCACCCCCCCCCCCATGCTCTCATACCCCCAACTGCCCTCTCATACCCCCAAATGCCCTCTCACCCTCACCCACTTCCTGAGTAACCCCTTACCTCCACGCTGCTGAGGTACTTCTCCTTGTCCACCCGCACAATGTTGCCCTTGCCAACTGCTCACACGGACGGGCACGGAATCGGTATCGCATGGACGTTCAGGGCAAAGAAATCACTTGAATCAACTCTGAGGTTACTTCTCCTTATCCACCCGCACGGCGTTGCCTTTGCTGACTGACCACACGGAGGGTGACGGAGGTCGCATCAACGGATCAAGGCAAGGACAAGGCAAGGACAACGGATCAAGGTGTGTGCATTAAGTCGGAAACACACGGTGGAGGAACCGATATGCCGTGACAAAAGCGGGGTGGAAGACGGAAGAAACGAAAAGCAAGTCGAAAGAAGCATCGCTTTTCAATAGCGTCGCTTTTCAGTAGCGTCGCTTTTCAGAAGCATCACTTTTCAAAAGCATCGCAGAGAACTCACACGCAGGTGGGGCAGGTGCGCCGTCAGCAGCAGCCACGATCACGGCTTGACACGTCACTGCGCGCCGCTGCCGATAGATGGCGGGAAGGAAAATTCCGGGAAAGGGGGGCGAGGGCGCGAGGGGAGGGGAGGAGTGGAAAAATGCGAAGCCACAGTAAAGACGCTGAAAGCGGTAATCACCAGGAAGACAAGCTGCAGGCAGAGACCAGGAGGATTCAGCATCGACGACCAGTACGGAAGGCAAGCTGCGGACATGGATGGAGATGGGTCAGCGCGTGCGGGAGGAGATATAGACGCAAGAGGGCACAGGGATGGTAGGAGCAAGGAAGGAATGGGACGGGGGCGGGGAGCGGGAGGGTCACGGGACCAAAACGGAAGGCGAGGGGCTTTTGAGACGAATTTTAAAGCGCCTAAGAAATGGTAAGGAAGGCACGAACAAGAACGGGAGGGTCGGGAGGAGCAAAACGGAAGGCAAGCTATGGACATTGATGGGGACGGGTGAGTGCAAGCGTGAGATATGGACGCACGAGGAGGGCACAGGGGTGGTAGAGTAAGAAAGGAAATGGGACCGGAGCCAGGAAGGGGAGGTCGGGAGGCACAAAACGGAAGGCGAGGACGTAGAGAGCTGGCTGAAAAAAGACTTAGGTGCAAGCGAATGTACGGAATGCTTTTGAGACGACTCAAAAACTTTGGTCCAAGCGAATCTGCGGAATGCCGCGCGGAAGCAAAAGCAATTATTCGAGCGACGACGATCCTCAGCGTCGCCGTGGAGGCGGAAGGAGGTGCCCGACGGTTGCGAGTGCCACTAACGCAGTGGCCGACGGAAGTGACTGTCGGAAATGACTGACGCGGTGAGTTTGACGCAGTGCGGTGATTGACAGCGGTGATTGACGGCGGTGATTGACGGCGGTGATTGACGGCGGTGATTGACGGCGGTAATTGACGGCGGTGATTGACGGCGGTGATGGATGGCGGTGATGGATGGCGGTTGACCAACGGCGGTGTTGGACGGAATCGCACCTTAGCATCACTGTGGATGCGGGTGGCGGTGACCGAAGGCACACGGACGGAGTAAGCTGCCAGAGCACCAAAGCGGAATGAAGGTCACCAAATAGGAGGGATGGGCGGGAAAGTTTTCATTGTCAAAGAATAGAAAGAGCGGATGGGGAGAAGCAGAGCGGGAGAGCGAATGGCTCACAGGGGGTACGGATATACATTGATTCGGGAGTGCAACTGGCACTTTGTTTCCGATAGGGTTAAAGGCAGCGGTTTAGCTGCTTTAATCGCTCGTTAGATGGAGAAACAGATGGCACACATTGAACGGCTAGCACAGGCCCTTCAAGAGCCAAACAAAACGAACAAATTCATCGATCATAATTTCAGTATACGGAACTAACAGGATAGTGCAGTCACGTCGACTCAGGACAAAGTTCGCACTCTGGGATTAGCGTGGCTCCGAGGTAAAATGAGAATGAAGCCATTGCACGAAGGAAATGCACGTCAGGACGTTGTGATTATGGCTCTCAGGAACCAAGACCACGCTGACGATCGAACAAATACATTATGAAAACGAAGCATTCCATCCTACTGGATCTCAAGAGATAGGTATGCTCGAAGCCATTATTGAATTGAAAATGACGCTTGTCATACTCACTTTGGAACCTTCGGCTCGAAACGCTTTCCTTACGAACCAGTTTTAAAATGCCTTACCCGATCGCCAAGCAACGGAGCTCTGGAGGGAAACACGAGGAGCTGAAACAAGCGACAATCCCGACGCGAGTGACATTGCTTGCGCCATTGGATTTTAAAAAAATAATCGGCGAGTCGCTTAGCACGCAAAGCGATTGTTTGACGCCGTGTCGCTAAGGACAGACAATCCCAGCAGCGTCAGACGAGCTAGCTCCCTGGTTCCCTCGCACTTCCTAGAATACGAGTGCTCAACTCTCGAGAAGGCTCATCTGGTCCGTTGCTGCGCTTCCTCCTTACACAGTGGTCTGGCGTTTGGGTTTGCCTAGGGTTTGAGAACGGAGGTTCTGAAGGAAGGATGAAAAAGAATTTTGATACAACTGAGACTACACCAATATTACCAGTTTGGCTTACCTACATTCTTCAAATTTCTAGGTAGTGCTCTTGACTCACATCTCAAGCTAGGCACTAGTGTGATTTTAACTAGAATGAGTCTAGTCATTCAATCGATCTTCTGAAAACCCCTCTGGAACAACAAACGTGCTGTCAACTGTGACATCCGTCGATGCAAATGCCGTTGACAAGGCTGATTTTCTCAGGGTTATTACCCTGATTTCAGGGTGATTACAGGCTTCTCACTTGGTGGTCCCTGCAATTTCAGAATTTCTGACTTGTGAACACTGATCCATTCAGAATAGTGCTTTAGCGAACCCTAAAATATTGTATCTAGGCTCATAGTAGTGTTCTTACTGACTCTGTCAATGTAGAGTACGCGTTATGTGGACCCTGGATGCGAGGGTACCGGGACGAAAGTTCTGGGAAATTTCCTTTTGATATCCCCCATGTGCATAATCATGATTACGCTTGTACCCATGTGAGGGTACCCTTTTTCCACAGTAATACTGACAAGTTACACCTAGATGGGAAGATGGGGTGGATTGTCAAACTTATATGCTATAATCTGTGTAGCCTGTAGTGGGGTAGACCATATGGGGTACAATATTTCTAGGTTTTCCTACTTGTACCCACCTCTTTCCTAGTTCATTAATTCCTCATTCTTCACATGGTATAGAGCAGGTTCCCTCGTGGGAACGCTTCTCAGGGCCCACCACTGAACTCGACTTTTTTTTTCTACCCGAGGCGCGCCCCGTGGGCCGCCCTCACGTCGCGCCCTCCTAGAGGCCCATCTCACGGCCCCTCGCGCCACACTTAGCGGCCCCGTCACCACCCCTTACGGCCCCGTCGCCGTCCTTTGCGGCCCCGTTGCCGCCCCTCTAGGCCCCTCACGGCCCCTTCGCGGCCCCGTTGCCGCCCCTCTAGGTCCCTCACGGCCCCTTCGCGGCCCCGTCGCCGCCCCTCTAGGCCCCTCGCGGCCCCTGTGCGGCCCCGTCGCCGCCCCTACCGGTCCCGTCGCCGCCCCTAGCGGCCCCGTCGCCGCCCCTAGAGGTCCCGTCGCCGCCCCTAGCGGCCCCGTCGCCGCCCTTCGCGGCCACGTCGCCGCCTTTCGCGGCCCCGTCGCCGCCCCTAGCGACCCCGTTGCCGCTCTTCGCGGCCTCGTCGCCGCCTCTAGCGGCCCCGTCGCCCTTCGCGGCCCCATCGCCGCCTCTACCGGCCCCGTCGCCGCCCTTCACGGCCCCTTCACCGCTGAGCCGCCCAGCAGCCGAGCCGCCGAGCCACCCAACAGCCGAGCCGCCGAGCCGCCCAGCAGCCAAGCCGCCGAGCCACCCAACGGCCGAGCCGCCGAGCCGCCCGGCAGCCGAGCCACCAAGCCGCCGAGAAGCCCAGCAGCCGAGCCGCCGAGCCGCCCAGCAGCCGAGCAGCCGAGCCGCCGAGCCGCCCAGCAGCCGAGCCGCCGAGCCGCCGAGCCGCTGAGCCACCGAGCCGCTGCCGTCGAGCCGCTACTGTCACTGCCGAGCCGCTGCCGCCGCGGTTACAGCCCTGTTCCTACTGACGCGCCCCGGCCCTACCCACTCGGACTGGTGAGAGCACTCCCTGCTAGACCACTGCTGTCATGGCTACCCCTAGTGTCCTTACCTTTGATGCTGAGGGTCGTGCTGTTGACTTTGAGGTCTGGGCCGATGACCTCCAGCTTTTCTTACAGTGCGATAGGGCAGACGGACTCTCCCTGTTCGATCTCACCTCTGGTGCCTCTCTTGCCCCGCCTACTGATGCTGACAGCACTGCTCGCTCACAGTGGGCCACACGCGATGCTGCTGCCCGTCTTGCTGTGCGTCGCCACTTACCGACCGCTCAGCCTGCGCACTTTAGTCAGTACAAGAGTGCTAAGACCTTGTACGACGCTGAAGTTGCACGCTACTCTTCCCCTGCCACTGCTGCTCTTAACCGCCTCATGCTGCCGTACCTGTTCCCTGACCTTGCTACCTTTCCCACAGTCGCTGACCTCATTACTGTGGAGAATAGAGCGAGAATGAATGAACTATGAGTGAAGTGAGTACAAATAGCAAAACCCTAATTGGGTTGTACCCCCTATGGCATACCCCACTATAGCCTACACAACAGCATAAGCTAGATATATGTTCTGACACACCCCCATAGGCAAAGTGGGGGAGAACAAGGGGTCACAAGACCAGTCAAGCAAAGCAAAGCAAAGCTCAGGGTGGATCACAAAGTCACTACACAGTCCGAGCACAAGAGCAAGGCCACAAGGCCAGTTCACATGCAGGAGTACACACATATATATATAAAGCTAGACAAGCAAGAGTAGGTATATATATGTGACAGTACAAGTAAAGTCAAGAGGAGAGCAAGTGAGGCAAGACAGACACAAAACCCAGCTGGGTGCAGAAGCGCTGATGGTCACAAGGCGCGAGTGCCTTGGTGAACACATCAGCAGTGTTGGCCTCAGAGGCCACGTACGCAAGCCGCAACTGTCCACGCTGCTGTAGCTCACGAGCAAGGAAGTAGCGAAGAGCAATGTGCTTTGTTCTGTGCTCCAGACGGTGCTCTCGACACAAGGCCAGCATGGCCTTGTTGTCTACGTACAGCACTCGAGGAGAACGAGGCGGCTCTCCAAGGTCAGTCAGCAGGTAGGTGAGCCAGCGAAGCTCCTGTGCAGCCATGGCCCCGGCGTAGATCTCAGCCTCACAACAGGAGCCGAGAACCAAAGACGAGCGAGTAGACCGCCACGAGACAGAGCCGGAACCAAGGCTGAAGGTGTAACCCTGTGACGACCGCTGCGTAGCCTGGTCGTCAGCCCAAGAAGCGTCTGCGTGGCCGGTAAGGACCACTGGACTCCGCCCTCCAAGCACTAGCCCCATGCCCGACGTACTGCACAGGTAGCGCAATACCCTCTTCGCTGCAGCCATGTGCTCTGGTCGGTGTCTCCCAGGAGCAACATAGCGTGCAAGAATGCTAAGAGGGTATGCAAGGTCAGGTCGTGTGCAGGTCATCAGGTACATGAGGCAGCCAACAAGCTCTAGGTACGGGCCACTCGACTCTACGGACTCATCCGAAGGCAGAGCTGAGAGCGAGTGGCGAGTAGACAGAGGAGTGGCCTGAGGCGAGGAGTACGTGAAGCCGAAGCGCTGAAGGACCTGCTGCACCATGTGTGACTGAGTCAAGGTAATGGTGCGGCGTGCTCTGTCCCGAGTGATCTGCAAGCCAAGGTAGCTGCGCAGTTCACCCAGGTCTGTGCACGTGTGTCTCTTCAGCAGCTCGGACTTCACGTAGGCGAGTCCAGCAGTGTCCGCTGTGGCAAAGACCAAGTCGTCGACGTTCACGAGGATGTAGAACGGCAGCAGTGAAGTGTCGGTGCGCAGAAACAGCGACGGGTCAGCAGTAGAAGGAGCAAACCCAAGGGCCGCAAGTGTAGTCCTCAGTTTGTCGTGCCACTCACGTGGTGCCTGGCGGAGACCGTAGACTGGCCGTCGGAGGCTCCACTGGGTGCCAGGAGGGAAAGTCCCAATGAAGCCAGGTGGACGGCGCAGCCATATCTCCTCGTGCAGGCTACCCTGCAAGAACGCAGTGCTGAAGTCGAGAGAGTGAAGCTCGTAGTCGCGCTGCGCGGCTATGTGCAGCAGCACCCGAAGAGTGGTCATCTTCGGGGTGGGAGAGAAGGTCTGAAAGTAGTCAACTCCCTGCCGCTGACTGAAGCCACGAGCGACGTACCGCGCCTTGAAGACAGGTGGAGAGCCCGGCGGCCGCTTCACCCTGAAGATCCACATGCCACTGACGATGTTCGCCCCAGGAGGGGGAACCGCGTCAACGTAGGTGCCTGTGGACTTCCAGGAAGCCATCTCTGCATCCATAGCTGCCTGCCACTAAGAGGAGTAGGGACCCTCTCCGGCCTCCGCGTAAGAGCGCGGAGTCGGGATGTCTAGTGCATCCGGGTCTCCCTCAGGAGCAAGCAGTACAGACACGAGATGAGGTGAAGCAGCAGCCAGACACTGGAACTCCTCCTGCCTGTCCTCAAGGACGTCCGTGCCAAGAGCACACTCACCCCCGACAGACGGAGGACAGACAGACGCAGACTCAGCAACAAGACTAGCAGCGTAGTCTAGACGACAGCGAGCAGCAAAGTCGACGAGCTCAACGACAAGAGCAGACGCAGCAGCGGACTCAAAAGAGGGGTCAGTGACGACAGTAGCAAGCAGACACGTGACAGTAGGACTGGCAGCACAAAGGGAGTCCGACTCTGGGTCGGTAAGCACAGGAAGGGAGGACTCAGGAGGAGAAGGCAAAAGGGCACGCAGAGGAGCAGTGGACGGACGCAAAGACATCCGGTGCGTGCCAGGGACAGGAGGAGGACGCGGACGCGAACCACGACCACTAGCGCGGGCAGCACGAACAGGCGACGCGGGACGAGACGCAGGCTCACGACGCTCAGCAAGACCTCCAGTAGGACCAGTGTAAGGAGAGGGAGCAGGCAGTGGGGAGGTAGGCTCCAACAGTGACTGCGACTGAACAGGCTGTGGACACTCTACCGGAGGAGAAAGACCAAGAACCTGGTGCAGAAGCGGAACGAAGTACGGCCGAGGCCGCGCGGCAGCTCCAGACTCAGCAGGGACAGCACCAGCACCCTCAGCGGCAGCACCAGCGCCACCAACACCTCTAGCGGCAGGACCTCCAGCAGCACCAGCA